TATTTTGGGGGTACATGGTGATATTTTGATACCTGTACACAATGGAATTGATCAAATCAGGATAATTGGGGTATCTATCACCCCAAATGTTTATCTTTGTGTGGAAACATTCTAATTCTTCTCTTCTAGCTATTTTGAAATATACAATAAATTATTGTGAACTGTAATCTTCCTACTGTACTATTGAATACTAGAACTTAGCATTGTTTTTTAAATGTCAAATTCCAATTGTTCGTTGCTGGTATGTGGGAAAGTAACTGACTTTTGTCTGTTAACCTTGTATCCTGTGACCTTGCTGTATTTGCTTATTAGTTCCAGGAGTGGCTGGTTTTCTTTTTCTTTCAATTCTTTGGTAATTTCTATGGAGGTAGCCTTGTCATCTGTGGACGAAAATCATTTTATTTCTTCCTTCCCAATATCTATAACCTTTGATTTCTTTTTTTTTTTTTTTTGTCTTTCTGCACTAGCTAGGACTTCCAGTGTGATATTGAACAGGAGAGAGAGCATCCTTTTCTTATTTCACATCTTTGGGAAGAGCATCTAGTTTCTCACCATTAAGTATGATGTTAGCTATGGGTATTTTGTAAATGTCCTTTCGCTAGTTGAGGAAGCCCCCTTCTATTGGATTTTGTCAGATGCCTTTTCTGCCTCAATTGATATGATATGATTTTTCTTTTTTAGCCTCTTGATATGGTAGATTACATTGATTTTCTTTCAAATGTTGAACCAGCTCTGCATACCTGTTTGTAGCACATACTTCTCTTTATACATTGTCGACTTTGATTTGCTAATATTTTGTTGAAGATTTTTGCATCTATGTTCACGAAAGATCTTGGTCTATAGTTTTGTCTTCTTGTAATGTATCTCGCTCCAGTATTAGGTAATGTCAGCCTCATGGAATGAATTAGGAAGTGTTCCTCTGATTCTTATTTTCTGGAACATATTGTGGAGAATTTCTGTTATTTCCTCCATAAATGTTGGATATAATTTATTGAGGCCTGGTGCTTTCTTTTTTGGAAGATAATTATTGATTCAATTTCTTTAATAGATATAGGGCTATTCAGATGATGTATTTCTCCTTGTATGTGTTTTGGAAGTTTGTGTCTTTCAAGGAATTGGTCCATTTCATCTAAGTTATCAAATAAATGGACAGAGCACTTCATCATATTTTTTTATTATCCTTTTAATGTCCTTAAGATCAATGGTGATGATTGATTGGTAATTTGTATCTTCTCTCTCTCTCTCTCTTTATTTTTGGCTGGGAAATATTTTCAAAATACACATTTGATCCTCTTCCCGGACCTGCTCTGCGTGGAGCTTTGGAGTCTGAGCTTGGGCATGCTTTCTTTAGAACACCCAGGAGCTCCCTACCTGTCTCTTTGTGAGGCTGTAGATTGGGAACTGTCCTAAATCCGGATTATTTTGTTACCGGTTTTCACACCTTTTTAGCAGGGCACTCTCTGGCCATTCGCGAATGCTAATATGTAAAACATAAAAATGCAGAGGCATTATAATTGATTTGGGAGGCAGGGGAGAGACAGGAGGACCCTGCCCACTTGGTACTCACCTCCTTCGTCTCAGGGCTGCCCCCAAAGAAGCACCGGGGGTCCCAGAGCCCCATCTCTGGTTCTCATGTTAAATGGGATGATGCCCATGGAGTGTTTCAGGATGGTGCTTAGTGCATAACATGGGTAGGATAAAGGTTAGCTGCTAGTATTGCTCTTGTTAATTCCCTATCAGTCGTAGTTGACCACGGATGGGGAGGGCTGCCTCTGGTGGTCCATGGGTTCCCTGCTGCTAAGGCATCCGAGCAGAAGCTAGGTGCTGCAGGCTGCTGCGTGGGCGTGGGGAGTGAAGAGCTGTGCGGGGCCTTCGCAGAGAGCCCCCTAGGTCCTCTGCTGGGTTTGGAGATGTGGGAACTCAGCCCCGGCTCTTCACCCCCACCCTGGCGCAGAGGGCGGCACGGGGTGGGGGGTGTCCCAGCCACGTATCAGCCTTCCCCACGGTAACCCGAACGTTCTCCGATCGCGCTCGTGTGGGACGGTGGCCCGTGCCAGTTTCTCATTTCGTCTCTCTGGTTTTGCAAGGCTCCGCCCTGACCAACGGGGGCTTGAACCTGCACAGCCCCGTGAAGCGGAAGCTGGACGCGGAGAAGGACTACGTCTTCGACAAGAGGCTCAGGTACAGCGTCCGCCAGAACGAAAGCAACTGTCGCTTTCGAGACATCGTGGTGCGGAAGGAGGAGGGGTTCACCCACATCCTGCTGTCCAGTCAGACCTCGGATAACAACGCGCTGACACCCGAGGTGAGGGCCGTGGCCGGGGG